GGCTGGGAGGTGGGGCTGGTGGAGGAGGGCAAAGGAGGGGGAGAATGGGGACATCTGTAACAGTGGCAACAATAAAAATCAAGAAAAAAATTAGTGGAATTCATGGTGATTTTTCTCTTCGTTTATATTCAACTGGAAAACCAAGATGTGGCTAGTTTTCTTTCTTTCCTAGATTGTAGAGTGATTTAACCCATCTAGTCACAGGTCATCAGTGACTGACATTCTCACTTGCCTGCTTCGACAAAGCTGTCCTCATTACTGGGTGAGCTGTGGCATTGTTTTGGAAAGTGGACGCCACGGTTGTCTACCCACTCCCCCCAGTGGCATTAGGAGATGAACTTATGTTTAAAAATTTTATTCGTCATGTGAATGAATGCAAGCAGACCTGCTACTAAATAAGAAAGCCTTAGCTCGTCTGTTTACTTAGACCGATTGCCCTAGAATTTCCATTAGCGGCCCCACCCCAGCTGTCCTATTTGTCCTTGTGCTAACTCCGAGTCCTGTCGATGACGTACCCGGCCCTGAACGGAGCACCTGGTCACCTGCATGAAAGGATCAGCTGTACCAGAAACAATTCTGGGGTCTTCAAAGGGAAGTGGGTCTACGATTCTTGTTTGTTTCCCAAGAGGGCTTAGCCTCTCGTTGTTTGGATCAAGTTCATGTGTGACTTACTGTCATCTTGCTTCTATTAAGTGACCTCAAAACTGAATGACTTCTTTCAAGACAAAGAAAAATCCCCAAACCAAGCAACACTCATTCTTTCTCCAACACCACCTCTTTCTGAAGAATTTTATCTGTCCCTGCTTGCCCCCCCCCCCCCCACCTACACACACACACACACACACAGGCACAAGCATTGTGGCTTTGGCGTTACTCTCTATGAGTAACATGTCTGCCCGCTTCAAACACTTTTAGGATCCAAGAATCCTTAGATGACCAGGAAGGTATTTATATCTAACAATTAAGTGTCCTCTCTGCAATGTAAGTGCGTTTCCCGTACCCTCACTTCAGGGGCAGTGGTGTGGAAATACACTTCTCGGCCCCAGATTGAGCCACTCCTGCCCGGGGCGCCACATCAGCAAATGAGGTTTTTATGATTCTGTAAATACTCCGCTTGACGGCAAGGGAGAATACCCAGTCAGCCATTCCCAAACACCAAAGCAACTCCGGCATTTATACAGCTCCTGTTTCCTTGTTCCTACATCTTCCCAGATAAGATGAAATATACAATCCCAGCCAGTCATGCCCTATGCTGTGTTGCTGCTTCTAACTCTCTATGAAACTCATCCTTATCCAAAAGCCCTCTGGACGAGGTCCCCACTGCGTATGAGGCAAGGTACTCCCCCAGTCCATGGGCTGTTTCCCCTTGTGACATGGTCGTGTTAATTTGGTCATTTGCTCGTAGAAAACAGCCAGACCTCTTCCTCTTCTGACTCACTGTTCCTTTGGGAGGAAAGCCCATCCCCACTGTGCCTTCCCTTTACGCAACAATCCTTAGTTTAGTCTTTCCTCCCAGATGCCCTGGCCCAGCGTGGCCTGCTGGGCATTGATGACCTTTGTAATCAGCAGAGGTTAGAGATTTTCCTGAAATCATAGGGTAATCAGTGCAGCTCCCAGACGAGGCAGCATCAATTCCAAGTACTCTGTGCAGGTTCAATGAGCAGGAAGAGGACCGGCAAACCATGAAGTAAGCCTCTTGTGCGATTCTTTCCCACACCATGAAAGATGGGCCCGTTGAGGCAGATACCGAATACAAAATGTAGACCTTGCCCAGTGAAATGCATAATCTATCTTTTATCTACAAAGCCATAAACCCCTCCAACCTGGGACTTAAGGCCAGTCTCATTCACTTGACATCCTGAGACATGAAGTGCCTAGGGTTGCAAATAACTGGTAACTAATTAACACCTGCAATCACGACCATTGAAAGAAAATCCCCAGGGGCAACCTGTGGGCGCTGAAGACCTATGCTCCCAGGGTGCTGGGAGCTCTGTGTTCTTGTCGCTGGTCTTTTGCCAGGAGGCAGCGTGTGTGGATAAAAAGAGCGACAGTTTACTGAGTGCTTCCTTTGCTCCTGGTACCTGTGCTGCCCGTGGGTTGGCTCACTGCATCAGTACATTAGCCCCGTGACGTAGGCACCCCCATCCATTTCATACGTGGAAAGCAGATGCTCAAAATGCCACCGCGAGTCAGTGGTCGAGGTGGGATTTAAACTCCTGCCATCTGACTCCAAAGCCAATTACAGTGTATTGTTCAGACGTGTTCAAGAAGGAAGGGAATGATAAAAGCCTGTCTGGGGGTGGGGGAAAGTGGAGAGAGTTAAACAGCCCCACTAGACTGCCTGTTTGAAATACTGATGCCTGAGATCTAGCAGGGAGCAATGCCTAAGCAAGTGTGGGAGGAAGACATGTTCCTCTGTCCTCCTAGGCTCTTATAAAAAAAATTTTTTTTAATTTTTCAGATAGAGCAGGAGAGAGAGAGAGAGAGGGAGAAACATTGATGTGAGAGAGACACATTGACTGGTTGCCACCCGCACGACCCCAACCGGGGCCGGGGATGAAGACAAACTGCAACTAAGGTACGTGCCCTCGGCAGGAACCGAACCCAGGACTCTCTGGTCCGTAGGCCCACGCTCTAACCGCTGAGCCAAACCAGCCAGGGCCTCCTAGGCTCTTTGGGCTGGTCTAAGAATGACATCGACATGAGACATTGACAAGAGAACCACATTTAATTACATGCCCACACAGGAACCCTGTGCACAGGAGCAAGTCAGAATCCTACAGACATGAGAGGTTCCAAGACAGAAAGGGAAGTGAATATACATCCATCCTGAGCCAAGGAGGAGGTAAGGCACCTTGGGCCTCAGAGGGTCATTGCAGGACAGTGAGAAGCGTAGGTGTTCAGGAATTAGTAGTTTGCCCTGCCATATAGAGAGGTAAAAAACGTTATCTCTGATCATCTCTTATTATGGGCAAGGCCCCTAATTCAGATTCTTTAAGGGAGAGGTAAGAGCTTCTCCTGAGCCCACAGGGTCTCAATTGCTTTCAGCTCAAAGTAATTCACATGCCAAAGTGGTACCAGGACCTCTCAGTCCCTGGGACGATGCTCAATCCCCTGAGACACGCCGTCCAGACAACATAACAGAAGCTTTTTTTTCCATAACATAGTCTTAGACCCTACTTTCTGGTCTCCAGAGTTAACAAATACTAATTTCCGTCATAATTATTTCAGAATTAGAAAAAATGTTAATACCTTTAAGAAATAAAACACTCCTGGGTTTTACTGTGTTTTTTAGAGCCTGTTCTTCTCATTAAAGTTAAAGTTTGTCAAGTCCCTCCCCACTGATATTTTTAATAATAAAGATTGTATTTGCTCACCTAAATCTAAGCCATTTTAGCTGTTGAGCAAGTTCAGACTCTTTTTATTTTATTTTTGTTATTGTTTTTTACTTTATTGATTTCAGAGAGAGAGAAAGGGAGAGATAGAAACGTCGATGAGAGAGACATTGATTGGCTGCCTCCTGCATGCCCCCCACTGGGGATTGTGCCCACAACCTGGGCATGTGCCCTGACTGGGAATCGAACCAGTGACCTCTTGGTGCATGGGTCGACACTCAACCACTGAGCCACACAGGCCGGTCAAGTTCAGGCTCTTTAAAACCCTGGTGACTTCCAGTGGTTTGGAGAGCCTGGGACATGACTCTCTGCAGCCCCTTCCACAGCCTCACCAGCAAGAGCCGCGATAAACGGAAGTCAGGCGTAGCTCTCCTCTGCCCATCAGCAACCGGCCCAGCCATCCTGCCTCCCCTTTTAGCTCAGGAAGCCCCACTCCCTGCCTCCAGAAATGCTTTTCTGGCAGAAAGCACTCTCTGGCCACAGAACCGGCCCACCTGCCCGGGCAATAGGTCTGAGGTGGAGACATGCAGGCTGGAGAACTTGAAGATCACTCTGACAGCCAAGTGAGACTGACCAGCAGGAGTGTGTGTAAATATGTGCAGCCCCGCGCTGGGGCAGGTAGAGCCCGCGGTGCACACCTGTTCCCCACGCTGCACTCAGTGACATGGTGTTGGTAGCTTGAAATTGACCGTGGCGGGGGTGTTTACACTCGAACTCAGCGAACACTAAGGGCTGCTTTCTCAGAGCGCTCGTTGTTAAACATTCACTTGCACGTGACTGAATATACCCCACACATTAAATCTCCATACATGCTTGCATCTGTTGTCATAGTCTCCATTCCATTTTGCAGCCTCGTTGTTCTTTTTTGATAATATCACACGCTCTCCCATCACTTCAGAAAAATTCTTGATGTACTTTTAGAGCAGTTCCTTTCTCCTTGTTCGTCCTTTTCAGAGTTTTCGCGTCTATATTTGGAGGTTTACTCTTTCACATGAACTTCAGGAACTTTGTCAGTTTGTCAGATTCCACAAAGACGCTGTTAAGATTTTTGTTGGAATAACACTGAATTTATAGACTAATATCAAAATAACAACCATCTTTATTATACTGAGTCTTCTCATCCACGAATGTTTATATATAAACATGCATGTGTTTATTGCACATGGATAGAGCAATCTTTTTTATGTCCTGTGATAATTGCTTAATTCATTTCCATAAAAATCAATTCATTTTTTATTATGTTTAGGTACTTTAAAATAATTTTACAAACCATTTTTATTTCTACCATGAAATTGACCTTTTACCTATTCTATTTTATGAACATTTATTGCTGGTGTGTAGGAAAGTTATTGGTTTTAATATGCTCATCTCACTATTAACTTTTTCAAACTTTTTCCTGGTCTCTGGAGCTTGAGCCTTTATGTTAAAAACTTTGTCCCCAAAAGGGTCAATGAAATTGTCATTGACTCCTTTTCTTTCTTTGTTTCTTTTTTAGTGCTATAGTGCATTTAGTGGAGGGTCAAAGTTTCCAATATGACAGCCAGGGCAAGGTCCAAGAGGCATTTATCACAAGGTGTCTTTGCTAAAGTCTGTCCACTTGCAACAATGGTTTGGACTGGGTACATCTGCATTCCCTCTTTCGTCGTGCTTGCTGCTCACATCGCAGCGGTGCCGGTAAGTCAAGCTCTGCTCTTCTGGGTGCTTAGAAATATTAATTCTGGTACACGTTATCCACTTTCTGCACATTTATTTTCTTTCAGGTTAAGAATCAATCTAAAGGAAATGGTAAGCACAAATGAAATGCATAAGGAGTGTTTCTGAACTTTCTTTTGTTCAGCAAGAACAATGACAATTCTCCCCACTTTCTAACAGATTTTGATGAACAGAAGGATATTCCAGAAATCAATTTAGGTGAGTTCAATGTCTGCATTATTAATGCCTTGAAATAATTTCAAATCCTGTGATAGAATTTCTGAAAAGCTATTGCCTCCATAACACAGTATTGGGTACCTTGGGGGCAGAACGATTTATTGGTGCTTCATCAGAATTTGCAGAATTTCTGTAAAATGGAAATGTGGAAAGAGAACGAGGGCTAGATCAAGTTTTCTAAGAGAACTAGTATGTGCTAATAGACCTAGCAATACATAACAAGAGTGTTGTTTATAAATTTTTCATTTCACCAGTTTCCATGTCAAAAAATGGGAGAGAAAAATGGATGATTACTCTGCTCTCTAAAGAAAAATATAACGAGTATGTCTATGATTATATTTAGTAGTGGGGGAAAACCAGACCTTCTGACGGGCCATCATATCCATTAACAGCTGTTTACTCGGGACTCAGAGAAGAGTGCAAAGGTGTTTCCGTTTCAACATCTTGTCCACAAACACATTTCTTGAGGAAATTCATCAGTCTCATTGGTTACTGAGAGGAGAGAGAAGCCGAGTTATCAGCTCTCTTTTTCCTTTTTTGTCCTGCTTCTAAAATGAAGGAGGAGCCTCTACCTTGTAGGCGTTTTTGTTCGGGATTGGTAGGAAGCAAAGGTATTCATGGTCATAGACACCTACGGTCAACAGAAGCTTTCCTGTCTAATTGCACATTTACTGTCAAATCCTGCAGTGGAGTCAAGAGCTAGTTTCATTTTGCAGGAAGTGACGGGGGGCCCCTTGGGGTTGAGGTGACTCACCTAAGGTCACAGAAGGAAGTGCTGGGGCTCACCTCGGCGTCTTCTGACTCATAGCTCAGTGCTGTTTGAAGATCACAAAACTAAAACACCCCACACCTAGGGGTTGAATTTCTCTGATCTTGTCCTATTTATAGGGAGGGCAGGCTAGTTGATATTTAATCGGGAAAGCTTGAGAATGATCGCACGGGCAGAATAGAAATAGTTTAGTGGGGTAAATGGGTGAATGGCTCCCCGGGCTTTGGGGTCAGGCAACAGAGAGACGATCTCTCGGTAGAGTCAGGTAGTCAAGGTGTAGTGACTGAGAGGTGTAGTGATTTCACGTCTGCTCTACTTTAAAACAGGTTGGGCTTAGAATTAGTCTCCTAATCTCATCCTTCTCTATCGAGTAAAAAAACAGTTATCTTACCTTGGAGCCATTTCTTACTCTTCATCTCCACCACCACCTCTGAACCGTGACCCCAAAGAAGATGTTTTCCCATGTGTGTCCTTTCTCTTTTTAGGTCATTCTAAACGAGCTGTCAGGGCTGACCGGCTGAGCCACAGGGCCAGAAATCATAAACTATTTGGGAAAATCATATAGAGAAAATCGTCACATTTCACTACCTTCTCTCCATGCCCCACGATGCTGATATAACCCTTTTATTATTATTATTTTGTGTGTGTGTGGTATGTGCCCCTAGCGGGAACCGAACCCGGGACTCTCTGGTCTGCAGGCTGACGCTCAACCGCTGAGCCAAACTGGCCAGGGCCTGATATAACCTTTTGACCCCAAGACCTGCTGCTCTCAGCCTGTTTCATTCATGCGTTTTCCCCCTCCTCGTTCTTTAGGCTCAGGCCCTCAGAGTCTCCCTCACACCTTACACACCATCTGTCGGCTCGTGCTGTGAGATCTGCCATCCACTTAGGTCACAAGTTGTGACATTTCAGCACTTACTGTCCTCCTGGCCTGGTCCAAGCCATCTCATCTCTGGCCTGGTCCTTGCAGTGGCCCACCTGCTCTTCTCCTCCTGCCCTCGTCCCGTCCAGGAGACTCTTCACAAGGTGACAGAGCTTTCCTAACGCCAACCAGCCATGCCACCTCTTCCCCTCCAGTCTTCCCGCTGGAAGATTCCCATCTTTCAATCTTCCAACATCGACCAGTGTTGGTTGACATCTTATCCAGCACAAAATAAAGGCCCTGGAGTCTTGATTCTCAAAGTGTGGTCCACAGGCCAATGCCACCGATACCACCTAAGAGCTTTCTTAGAAAAGCAGCATCTTGGGCCCCACCACAGACATACAGAATGAGCACCTCCGTTTTCACAGAACCCAGATGACTCCTAGGCATAGTAAAACTTGAGATCACCTGATCCTGGCCAGCTTTCTCACCCATGAGTTACTACTCCCTGCCCCGCTTACCTACTGGGGCTGTTCAGTTGCCCCAACCTCATAGCTGTTCCTCTAGAAAAGTGGTTCTCACTGTGTGGTCCCCTAACCAGCAGCAGCAGCAGCATCACAGGGAACTTAGAAATAAAAATTCTCAAGCCCTACCCCAGACTTATTGATCAGAAGCCCTAGGGAGGCAGGGCTCAGCAAATCTGTGTTTAATTAGCCCTCAAGGAAATTCCGATGCTAGCCTGTGGGAGGCACTGCCCTGAGACATCAAGCTTTCCCAGGGCCTTCCTATTTCCCGTTGTCTTTGCCTTCAATAGTTTGCCTTCCTTCGCTCCCCATTCCATCAGGCTTCTGCTTAAATGTCACCTCCTCAGGGAGGCCTTCCCTGACTACTCTTTATAAAGTATCAACCCCACCCCCCGCCTTCAGCACTCTCTTCCCCCTTACTCTGTCTTGTGTTTTTTATTTCTATTGCCCTTTTCTCCACCTGCCATACTCTACATGTTCGTTTACTTGCTTGTCTCCCCTCCCTCCCAGGTCAGAATGTCATCCCCCTGAGGGATTTGCTTTATTCTCTGCTGTAGCCCCAGCACCTAGAACAATGCCCAGGGACACCCGGGGCTCTTACTAAGCATGTGCTGCAGTGAGCACATTGGATAGCGAATAGACTGAGGCTGGCCGTCAGTGGGTTTGTATTTCCTTGGGAAGTGCTCCTCTTGCCACACCCGCTCACCCCTCTGCGACCCATCCATGCCCACGAGCCGCTGGGGCCGAGGTCTCAGTGGGCTTGTTCATGGGACTCTGGAAGAGGCCCCCCCTCACCCCCGCTCCATCTAGGTCAGGTGTCAGGAAATGCAAACTGTTGCTCCTGACAAACCCCGGCGAGGGTGTGGCTAGACCAGCACGCAGAACCCGTCCTCCTGCAGGTGGGCAGTGGCGTGGACGTCCCGTCGGGCGCTGCTGTCGCGCGCATGGGCTAGGTGGCAGGGGCTAAGAACATCGGGGAGAGAGAGAGAAGCAGGGACAGCCTTATTGCTTGGCTTTGGAGGGTGCCACTGTTTTTTCTTGGGAAAGAGAGCAATCAGCCCACTTCCTAGGGTCAGGAAGACGGGTGGTCCGCTAAGAGCAGGGGCCCTGGGCGGGCGGTCAGGAGTTCCCCAGCTCAGGCGCGCTGACCGCCCAGTACATCGCCGCCCGGCCCCGGAATCCATTTCACCCGGGAAACGGTGAGAGGTTTGCAGTCATTAAAAATATCTCGTCTAACTCTCTTTTACTTTTAAAATCCTTGGACAAAGTTTCTTGTTCCAGAAAATGAAAACAGGGGGTGTGGGAATATATATGATATTTTTATTGTATATAGCCAATCCATATCAGTAAACATGGTATGTATTGGCTATATACATCTGCTCCATTAGAGGGAATGTATGCATTGTTTCCAAGACAATTTGGCACATAAAGATGAATAATCAAGATCTGCAATGGAAAAGATGAATTTTATGATGAGGGATGCCTTTTAGTAATGCTCATTGAAATATGTCTTTTTTTTTTAATCCACATCTAGCTGCAGGGTTGGACCTCTTTCAAGGGGACATCCTCCTGCCGGTGAGTACCTGCCTGTGACACAATAACACCCCCCAGGACTGGCTGTGATGTCCTGCAAGCCTCCTCGTGAGTCCTGGGGCAGGCGCTGTGGGGCGATGAAAGAATCTAATCTATAATCTGTACCCACAAAGACTTCCACTGTGGCCGGTGGTGGATAAAAAAATAGCAGACAAAAAAAATAGCAGACATTACAAAAGAGTCTATAATTATCAAACTGCTGTACCCACCCAATTTTCCTAATGAGTGGGGATGAGAGAGAAGGAAATGCGTGGACATGTTTAAAGCGGCTGTGTCAGCTTGGGGAGAATTGCAGGTCTCCTTTATTTCGTTCTTAATAATTCCTCTGAATTTTCCAAATTGTCTGTAATGGACTATCCCATTTATAATCAGAAGACAAATGCTACTAAATGATTGACTCATGTGACAGATTATTTGTGGTGTGAGCGTTTGGTGAAGGAGAAGACCCGGAGGGTGAGCTTTTCTGGTGACCTTGCCTTTGTCTTTCACAGAACTCCAGAAATGGTCTGAGAGACCCCAATACCAGGTGGAAGTTCCCCATTCCTTACATTCTGGCGGACAATCTGGGTAATACTAATTGTTCTTAATTAGGAGCTTTGGGCTTAACTCTTTTCCCACCCCCCTCACCCCCCTCCTCCTCTTCAGCAGCTTCAGACGGGGAGTAACCAGCAGGGTTTAAGAGGGTTTCCAAGCACCCACGATTCTTCATCTCCTGGGATGAGAGGCATGACATGACGTCACGTCATGTACATCGATGTCGTGTCATGTACATCAATGTCATGTCAGGCCCAAGATAAGAGTATCATATAATGATTTTAAAAAGGCAGAAGATGTGAACATGTTAATAATACCAGAAGCGCTCTGGCCAGTTTGGCTCAGCAGTAGAGCATCAGCCTGCGGTCCACAGAGACCCGGGTTCGGTTCCCTCTCAGGGCATGTACCTTGGCTGCAGTTTGTCCCTGGCCCTGGTTGTGTTGTGTGGGTGGCGGCCACTCGATGTGTCCCTTTCACATTGATATTTCTCTCTCTTCCTCTCTCTCCTTCCCACTCTATCTGAATAAAAAATGGAAAAATGTCCTCGGGTGAGGATAAAAAAATAATAATACCAGAAGCACCATCAAGGGTGAAAACATGGTGAAATATAAGTTGGCATCACCACAATGGAAATTTTGCACTTTAAATACTAGTTTACCTAGGTGACTCGAACTATGGCATAAGGATTCTATTTCAGGGTATTGATCTTCCCTTTTTGTTACGAGACCCACATGCCCCATGTTTGAGAAACAGAAAAGTCTGTATTCCACAACGGACAGTCCTCATTCCTCATTATGAACACATTCTATTCTTGTTCTCTCTGAAGATAAAGGACTCAGTTATATTTTACTCGTTGTTGGAAATAGGCCTTGGCGGACGTGGGTAGATACTAGCGGCACATGTGGGCACCGGCTGCCCTCAGCAGCTGACTGATACCTGATCCGTGGCGAGGCGATGCCCGCGAGGCCCCCGCAGACCAGGGGGGAGGGAGCGGAGGGGAGGCCAGGACACGCTTGCTCAATCCCAACGGGCTGCCAGGCGGCTCCCACTCTCGGGAGATGTGACTGTGTTGCAGTTTTCCGTCACTATTCTCAGGGCTGTCCCCACTGCCTTTCCTGGAGAAGAGCTCCTGTAAACAAAGGCCAGTTGTTCTGAGTTCTTTTATGGAAAAGTGAGCCGAGTTGTTTTCCCCCCATTTGCCAACACGCTGGCGGATTCATGGCACACTCGCATTGATTGGAACGTGATATAAGAAACAGCAACTTTAAAGGCTAATTTTTTTCCAGGACAGTTTTTCTTCCTGCTTGTCTCACCTGAGCTACCTCCATCACATCCAAACGGAGACATACTTACTGAATCTCTGTGAGGTGCCTTCGCCTGACATCGCATTTGCCCTTCACCATGCCTCTGTGAGGGGTTAGTGAGTCTCAGACTTTAACATTAGGGTCCCCCGAGGAACGGGGTAAAATGCAGGCTAGGTCCGGGTGGGGCCTGAGATCCTGCATGTCTAGGACTCCTCTAGGTGATGCTGAGTCTCTTGCTCTACTGGCCACACCTTGAGTAGCAAGGTCTCTTAAGCTGCAAGGGAGGTGACAGATTAGTGGAGAGCAAGACTGAAGAAGGGTGGCCTCAGATAAGGTAGCTGCAGTCAGGGTACAGGGGTAGTTCTCGAGCAGCCCCCTATGAGAATCACCTTTAGCATTGGGAAATGTGAGCATACTACTCAGAGCTCAATACCTGTACACAGCCCCTTCATTAAATGTATATAGAGTGAAATACACAAGTCAGTGTACAAGTCAATGGCTCTTTATTTTATTTAAAACTTTTTTCTTTATTGATTTTAGAGAGAAAGTAAGGGAGAGAGAGAGAGAGATAGAAACATCGATGAGAGAGAACCGCGATTGGCCACCTCCTGCATGCCCCCCACTGGGGATCTGGCCCACAACCTGGGCATGTGCCCTGACCAGGAATCAAACTGGTGACCTCTTGGTGCATGGGTCAACGCTCAACCACTGAGCCACACTGGCCGGGTATCAGTGGCTTTTAAAAAATGCATAGGCTTATGTAAGCCACACTTCCATCACTCCAGAAAGTTCCATGTGCTCATTTCCAGCCAATCCCCATCCCCAGTCCCCAAGAGACAACTGCCATTCTACTTTTTTTCCTGTGGATTAGTTTACCTGATTTACAGATCAATGAAATCACTTAGTTTGTTTCATATTGTGTCTGGCTGGTTTCTTTTGCTTAACATGTTTTTAAAATTTTTCCATATTGTCATGGATCAGTAATAAATTATTTTTTATCACTCAGTAATATTTATTGTATGACTATATTGCAACTGTTTATCCATTTTCCTGTCTATAGGCATTGCTGTTTCAAGTTTGGGGTCATTATGAAGAAAGTTGCTGTGATGTTTCTTATATAAGTCTATGTAGATATATGGTTTTTATTTATCTTGGATAAATGTCTAGGAATAGAACTGTTTGACCATATGTATGTTTAACTTTATAGGGAAATGTCATTTTTCATTCTCACTAACAATGGTGGTGTTAGTCTTTTTTATTTTAGCCATTTTAATGGTTGTAAATGGTATCTCACTGTGATTTTATTTATTTATATTTATTTATTTTTTATCCTCACTCGAGTACATTTTTCTATTTTTGGTTCAGATAGAGTGGGAGGAAAGGAGAGAGAGAGAGAGAGAGAGAGAGAGAGAGAGAAACGTTGATGTGAAAGGGATACATCAAGTGGCTGCCACCCAACCAGAGCTGGGGACAAATTGCAACTGCTGTACATGCCCTTAGAGGGAACCGAACCCTGGTCTCTCCAGACCGCAGGCCAACACTCTAACCACTGAGCAAAACCAGCCAAGGCTCTCACTGTGATTTTAAGTTGCATTTTCCCAATGAGTAATGGTATTTAGCACATTTTATGTGCTATTGGCCATTTGTGAATTTTATTTTATGAAGTACCTGTCCAACTCTTTCATGATTTTTTTATTGTATTATTTGTCTTTTCATTATTTGTAGAAGAACTTTATACATTATAGATAGTCCTTTGTCAGATATATATAATGAATATTTTCTGTCAGTCTGTGACTTGCTTTTATTTAATCAGTGTATTGATTTTATTAATCTTTTCTAAGAGCAAACTTTTGATTTGTTAATTTTCTCCCTTTTCTCTGCTTTTTGTTTTGTTGCTTTCTGCTCTTTATTATTTCCCTTGTTCTACTTACATCAGGTGTAATTTGCACTCTTTTTTATATTTAAGGTGGAAATTTATATCATTAATTTTGAATCTTCATTTTTAAAACATTATATAATGCTATAATATAGCATCCAATGCTATAAATTTTATTTCAAGCACTGATTTTACTGCTTTCCACAAATTTTGATAGGTTGTACCTTTATTAAAGTTTATTTTAGATATTTTCTCATTTCTGTTGTGATTTTTAAAAAATCCACAGGTCAATTAGAAGTGTGTTTTTAAATTTACAACTCTATGGAGCTGTTCTAGATAGTCTGTTATTTATTTTGAGTTTTTGTTAAGGTCATTGAACAGATTCAATGAGATAGCAATCTCTTGAAATTTACTGGGACTTTGTTTTACGGTCTCATTTATATCTGTCTTGGTGAATGCTGTGTATGCACTTGAAAGGACTCGTATTCTACAGTTTGGGGGCACACTATTCTATCAGTGTTAAATATGTCAAGTGACAGTTGGTGCTGGTTATATATTAGACGATGTAAATATTACATTTTAGAGACTCTGCATTCTGTTATTCTCCTCTGAAGAGTGTTAATTTTTGTTAAAGCAGTTGCATTGCTGACTGATGATCTTGGATTTGTGGAGGTTTTGATTTGATTTTGTCCTTAGTTCAAAGCAAATTCCTTTGTCTTTGCTCTTAAGACATCATGGCCTCTCTGGAGTTTCAATGAAATGCCCAGGACTTGCCCTAGTCTCTCTAACTGACAATGACTCAAACTTCAAATTCCCTCTCACTATGATGGGAAGCAGCTGAAATACCTGTTTAATCAGCCTTCTATCTGCTATTTTTCACTAAGCTCCTTAGAGAATTCTCCCATCCGTGCAACATTCATGAGTCAAAGACTAGACGGAAATTTGTGGACAAATTTTGGAACCACCAACCCCCCTTTCCCTCCGATCAATCATGGCTCTTTATCCCCGAGGATTTCCTCTCTTGATTTTCAGCCAGCCAGGCAATGCTGAACCCTTCCCGTGATAGACATGTCAGGAAAACACAACTGCAAATGTATGCTTGAGGTCTCCCCTCCTAGCACCGAAAGAACTGCAGTGTGCCCTCATGCAAAAGAAAACTATATAAACACGAATCTTAACCAATGATATTTCTTCCTTACAAGAATAAACTCTCCTACTGTTTCTGCCTATTTTAGTAATTTTCCAGTGCTTGCAAAAAGTTTCTTTCCTTAAACTCTCCCCAACCTTTATAATTGTTATCTGTGAGATTTAAGCTCCTCCACTATTACCAGATCAAAAACTCTCTCGGAGCATTCTTAAACTCAACATAGTTAGCCTTCCTATGCTCATCCTCGAATATGTAGAGTCAACAGCATCTGAAGTTAACTCTTTTTCTCGTATTAGTTGATCCAGGGTTAAAGAGAAGTAGTGGTTTTTAAAACTAGCATGATTATCAAAGACAGAACTATAGACAACTTAGTCACGGCAAAGTGATGAAAGGAGAAGTAGGAATTCAGTGAGGCAAAAGACGGGCTCCTTCCTCTCTGGGAGCTAACAGTGTCCTATGCGGAGCAGACCTGAATAAGGACAACACACAGACCACAAAGTGTGGCTTCCAGTGGGCTTTTGTTCCACTTTTGTTTTCTTTTGAATGATGTTGGAACAGTGTCTACAAAATTATTACAGACTTGCTCAATTCCTTTTTCACAACTTACACAGGTGTGGGAGGTCAGACATGATGCGATTTTGAAATGAATCACCCTCAGCACTCCCCTTATTTGGCTTGAGGATAACAAGGGCAATGTAACCTTAAAAACAGCATGACTTGGTCCTGGCCAGTTTGGCTCAGCGGTTAGAGCATCGGCCTGCGGTACGGAGAGACCCGGGTTCGGTTCCCGCTAAGGGCACATACTTCGGTTGTGGTTTGTCCCCGGCCCTGGTTGGTCGTGCGGGTGGCAGCCACTCGATGTGTCTCTTCACGTCGATGTTTCTCTCTCTCTCTCCCTTCCTCTCTCTCCCTCCCACTCCATCTGTACAAAAAATGGAAAAGTATCCTCCGGTGAGGGAAAAAAAAAAACAGCATGACTTGAGTAAAAACAAACTCGTTTTGCTTACATTTTTATGACTACCAAGGGTACATATCTTCATATTATAGAGGCCACTAAGAAAGAATAGGTAAACTCCATGAAAACCCTCCAGTAAGTTTAACTCATGCTCTTGTTGCTGTTATCTGTTTTGTTCCCACAGTTAATTTACTGATGATTCCAAGAACTATTTCTTTACTGACCTTGATATGATCCCATGACATCTGAACTGTGGAATCTCCAACATGTTGGTTTATTCAATGACATAAGGACCAGGATAAAATGAGAAAAACACTTGATAAACTACCAAGAATTATAAGCTTTCTTTGAGAGAATGCACAAAACCAAATGTGCAAGAAACACAATTTAATTGTATATAACTTAGCTTTATTTTTAACTCAGAGACCTACCTTCATTGAGTTGATGGGAGAGAAAAACCACATGCACAGAGTAAAACACAGTCTCTCTTCCTTTGAGCATCTTTCTTCCCAGCCCTGTCCTTGTCCTGTGCAACACCGAGGTGTGAGCATGTTAGATAAAAGGAAAGACATTTAATCTTTGGCCACTGATGCACACAGGTTACTGGGAGGCACCTATTATTCTTGCCCCGTCAGGTTCATTCGGCTTCTGCTGCTCTGATTCCAAACTTGGGTTACAGCAATCCTTTCTAAGGCTGCCTACAGTGCTGCCCGCCTCTCTTGGCCATCTCCCTAGGGCTCTTGCAAGGAAGCAGGGAAATATACATATGTACTACGCTTTCTGAACCCACAAACCTCTCTACACTATGCTCTCGTCCTCGAGCGAGAGGCAATGTCTTTTCAGACTGGGATAAGGAACGCCATTGTCATTGCTCTTCTCCAAGGATCTTTATTCATCCGGAGGACATAAGGGGCTTCCCATCTCTTCTGTCCTCTGCTGTCAAGGAATTCTGAGACAATGAACCCAGAATCTCTGCTTGAGTGGGGGATGGGAAAGAAAGAAGGGAAGTTATTCTATTTGGTTTAGCCACATTCACATTACATAAGTGTATTCTTATTTTGTAGTTATATTTACAACGTTATGTATTTAATGTATGCACTTGATGTTTGCATCCACAACTGATTTTTCAGTTTTAGTTTTCAAGGAATCTATTTGCTACCAAAAAAAAATCCATAATGGATCCCTGTGGATTTTATGTGGTGGCATGATTTTCTGTAAACTATGTCATGTACATTGTCCAAGAGTTCAGTAATGCTCATTGACATTTTTACTGCTTTCTGCAGAACTGAATGCCAAAGGAGCCATTCTCTATGCCTTTGAAACGTTCCGCCTCAAGTCCTGTGTGGATTTCAAGCCCTATGAAGGAGAGAGCTCATATATCATCTTTCAGCAGTTTTCTGGGTTAGTATGAAAATTTGCAGAGTGTGAAAATCATCCATCTTTTGGTTTATAAAAAGTGACATTTCTTTCAAAGGCTAAAAGGAAAAGTTGGAAAGAAACTAAAAGTAAATTCAAATCTTCCACTGTAAAATTTTTAATTAAACAACATTTTTAACATATTATGTGGAGAATGAGCTGTTTGATACCTCTGGGCCTGAGAGAAATTTATCTCAAGTCTTTTCTTAGGTTTAGGTCATATTTTAAATTATATTCCTTTTCAAAGTAAAGTTTATTAAATTATAAATTGCACACTTGTAATGGTACTGTTTGGCTGGACCTCTTTGAAAAGTTCTAGATGTAAATTTGCTTTTCATATTTATTTATTTATAAGAAGAAATAAACAGTCTATCAAGAAGAGAAAAAAAAGCTCGTTTTCTTTAGTGGTGTTTATGTCAATCTACCGGGGCTGGAGGAGGTTGAGAAGCAAAACTGCCCTAAGCCATGACTGTGCTGGTGTCTTCAAGCCCAGCAAGGAGGGTTAGCTCATGCTGCACTTCCCATCACTGCCTCTAGGTGGCACCTGGATTTGGTTGTCTAGTTCTGATGGTGAGGTTTTTGTTAATCATGGATGGATTAACAGGGATGAAGAAGGAAATTAGCACACGATTTAGCCTCTTAGGTAAAAAAGTACGCAAAAAATAACAGTTCAGAAAAGTTAAAATTTGATGACTACTTAGACACAAGGTAACTCTCTTACTTAGCCTGGTGGTTCTTAGCTCATTCTTTCATTTAGAAAAACAAAAAACCAATAAATATGAGCCCCTGTTATGTATCAGGAAGTATGCTAGTCTACAAGTACGCTAGGTACAAAGAAGTGTGAGACCCAGTCTTAGACCTCACAGCTTTACAGTTGGCAGGTGGGGGTGGTGGAGACACGGCGGGTCAGTGGTTCGAATACGCTGTGGTGAGTGCCATGGGCTACGGGAGGGAAGAAGCAGGACTTCTAACATGGTGGGAGGTGGTGCGTGAGGGAGAGCTAGGTGGAGTGGTCGAGAGATAAAGAAGGAAGGACATGCAGGCGGAGGGGGGGGGCAAATGGGAAGAGAGTGTGAGGGAGAGGAAGAAGGAGAAGAAGGAAGGGGAGAGAGGAAGAGGGGAAGAAGGAAGGAACGAGAGCAAACATGCAGTCTGCCTTACTTGGAGAACTCAGTCAGTTCAAAATGTCTGAAGCTGTCCCTGTCAAGGGCAGAGTGGTGGGTGATGAGCCAGGAACAGAAGCAGAAGCCTGGTCAGAGAGACCTTCATGTAAGGGAACACACTCTTATGTCGAAATTGTTCAACTGTCCGTTTGCCAACAACAGTGGGCAAAGAATTGACGTGTGGCATGTGGCAAGCCTGGTGGCAGGAGATAAATTAAAAGATGCCCCAGTCCTCCAGGAAAGAAATGAAAGGGACCGTCACTAAAAAGAGGCCGTTGAAATAAAGAAGAGTGAATTTTAGAAATAGGTAAAGAGGCAGACTTATCAGAGCCTAGTGAATAGTTGATGCGAGGGGTTAGGAAGAGAGAGGAATCAAGATGATCAAGATTTTTGATGTGGGTGGCGACTGGAGGGTGGTGACCTCATTCACTGAGACTGGGGATATTGTCAGAAGAACCGCTGTGGGGACAGGATAGTGAATTTGTTTCTGGACATGTAGTTTATTGTTTGGGGTTTTGTGGGTCATAGAAAAGGAAATAACTAATACTTGTCTGGATAGTTTATTTCTACGTGAAGGGAAAGGTTTAAAGTATACCTCAGGCCTTGCCAAGAGCACATATTTTAGAGGTTCTCTGCTTTTGACTTCTTCATCTCATGCCTTGGCAACCTCTGAGCTTTGCGATATAGTACCTAAGCCTTTAGTTATTCATTGAAAAGTTTAGGAAAATATTTATTTTCTTTACACGTTTACTGTACATTCTTTAACTACCATTTTTGAATCACTTTTTTTTTTTTAATAAAAAGAAAGAAATTATTTCTCTTAAAATCAAACGAAGTAAAAATGATCACTTTCTAAAAGTTCTCATTTTCCCAGTAAATGCTCTTGGCTTCTTTTCGGTCTGTAACTCAGTCCCCAGGTACCTAATGAAGGGGTGATCAGCTTTGAGGGACATTCTCCATAAAACCTGAATCTGAGGGACTCATTTTCTGTGGCCAGGTGTTGTCTCGGTTATATTTAAACTGCAGGAGGGGGAAGAGACGAAAAGATGTGGTCAAGGGTCTGGCCTAAAGTGCCCCAGGTGCCCTGGTCCCTTGAAGCTGGAGGTTAACCGAGTTCTTTCTAAAGAACAAGGTCAATGATTCACAGACTGGTGGCATGTAAAGTATTTTTGCAATTTACACCTTTCTGTTGAGGAAGGGATGTTAAAAAAAGAGATAAATATTCCGGCCGGTGTGGCCCAGTGGTGGAGCGTCAACCCATGCACAGAGAGGTCGCCAGTTCGGTTCCCCGTCAGGGCACGTGCCCAGGTTGTGGGCCGGATCCCCAGTGGGGGGCGTGCAGGAGGCAGCCAATTAATGTTCTCTCTCATGGATGTTTCTATCTCTCTCTCCCTCTCCCTTCCTCTTTCTATAAAATCAATAAAGAAAAAATTTAAAAACTGCATGGTATTCCCTTGTGGAGATGTGCCATAATTTTTAAAAGAGAGAGAGATAAATAATAAATGTTTCCTGTGGTTTGTGGATATTTTACAGAGTAAACTCAGATTTGGTAGAAACTTCTACTGTCAGAAAGGCCAGTTGATCATGGTGGGTGTTTGCACAATTCAGTAAATTTACTAAAGACCGTTGAATTGTACACTTAAAACTGGTTATTTTTACAGTATGTAAATCATACCTTAATAAAGTTTTGTTATCATGTAATTAAGATCCATCTTTGAGCAGAGAACAAATCTATTAGCATTTGAAGGTATGTGATGTTAACACTCTCAGGAAAACAATGGCAGGAAACCACTGGCAAATCTTTTACTCTGTGGAGCATTGGTACGAGTCTAGATTCTTGCTCCACATCTTGGAGCAGGTAGGAAGACAATTTGTGAAAAGCTTTGGGTTTGCTAATAGAGATGGAAAATCAGATTAGTGAGAAAAGACCAAAATAATTGGGGGGAAACGGGCTAAAGGTTATACCACGAGGAATTTAGATTCTCTGCCAGAAGCTTCTGCGTTCACTGTTTTCTGCGGTAAGTGTGGGGTCTGCCTTGTCTAGAATTCCTCAGGAATAATCAGGCAGCCTCGTCTGCGCTGTCAATAAGGAGGCTCTCTTTCATGATCATCACGTTCACACCTGCTCCATAGAGGAAATTTGGAAATTCTTTAGAATGTAAAGGGGAAAATTAAAGTCAACCATGACCCTTACTCAGAGACAATATTTTGGTATAAAAGCTATAATATTATTCTTTGGAATACCCTACAGGTTTGTAGAGGTGTGGAAGAATGCTCATTTTTACTTCTTTCTACCTGATACATTATTAGGATGCACTGGACACTTTTATAATGGACCATCATTTTTTGTGGTGGTGTTTTTCTTTATTGAAATTTTTGGGGTGACATTGGTGCATAGGCTCACATGGGTTTCAGGTGTGGGTTCTATGTTACAGGATCTGTACATTGCACGGGGGGCCTGGACCACGGTTTTTAAAGCCTACATAACATCCCTCCAGGAAATGTTTCTTACTTAACCAGTCTCTTATCATTGAACCATCAGCATATGAGCACACTACTGACCATTTCTTTTAAAAAGCAAAGATAACTTCTTTCTCATTTGTGTTCTGAAAACTAATGAATTACAACCATTTAAGCATTATTTAGGAGAAAGTGTTTCTCTTCTCTTTAAAGGTGCTGGTCTGAGGTCGGTAACCAGCATGTGGGTCAGAACCTTTCCATTGGCCTTGGGTGTGACTATAAGGCCATCATCCAACATGAGATCCTTCACGCTTTGGGATTTTATCACGAGCAGTCCAGGACTGACCGGGATGATTATGTGAAAATCTGGTGGGATGAAATTCTTCCAGGTGTGTACAAACCCAAGGCAGCTGGGTGTAATGTGCTATTATCTTTATGACTTGCTGAGACCAACCGTGGGATGGCCAGGTCAAATCTGTGTGTGGGCGTTGCTTCAGATTCTCCAGGGAGAACATAAAATATAAAGCGGGCATGCCCTGGCCAGTGTGGCTCCGTTGGTTGGGCGTCATCCTGTGCACCAAAAGGTTGCCTGTTTGATTCCCCATCAGAACACATGCCCAGGTTTCAGGTTTGATCCCCAGTGGGGAGGCATGTAGGAGGCAGCTGATCGATGTTCTTCCTATTTTATTTTTCTTTCTGGAATGGAAGAATGTGATCTTTGATTGAAAGGATGCCCCTTTCTACACAGCTGCTTACCTTTCCCTCTACCTCTCAGATTCCTTTTCTTAACCTGTGGGAGAGATGGCCAGGGACAGCTCTAGGTGGAAGAGGTACTCAGCTATGAACAAGAAGTATAGATTCTGAATATTTTTCTGAATTCAGAAATTCTGTTTCCTGCCATTTGGAATACCTGCTTCCTCTTTCATATTTTATCTTCTCTTTCTTAAATCCTTATACATATACATGCACATTTATTTATTTATAAAGAGAATCTTTGATTTAAATATATATGTATATTTAATATTTGTATGTGTATATTAATTACAAGTATATGTGCATATTAATTATGTATTTTAATATTCATCATCATTATTATTTTCATACTGTTATATAGTAGATGGCTATCAGCTAATAATAATTAATAACATGTATTAATTTTATATTGCTATGTTAATTATAGAATTTGTGTGTGTGTGTGTGTATATACATATATATAGCACCTCAAAAATGTATACATACTTCAAATATTCATAAAGCCAGCATTTATTGCAATAGATTTTATTTTCAAAATGTAATAGAATCTACAGACAGCCTGTATACACACACACACACACACACACACACACACACACTATTTCCCTTTTCCTTCTTGGTCTCCGCTTGAGTGTCTAGTCAAAGAGGGTACACAGGAAGATGATATGACCGAACAGGACCTGTGGATTCTCTCACTGACAGGTTACCAGCACAACTTTAATACCTATGATGACAACTTCATCACAGACCTCAACACGCCCTATGATTATGAGTCTCTGATGCACTACCAGCCTTTCTCATTTAACAAGAATGAAAGTGTCCCTACCATCACAGCCAAGATCCCTGAGTTTAACTCCATCATTGGGCAGCGCCTGGATTTCAGTGTCCTCGATCTGGAGAGGCTGAACCGCATGTACAATTGCAGTGAGTACCTCTGGGGCTGAGGACCGAGTCAACATGCCCCAATGGAGACTCCCCGCTCTAAGGGTGTCCTGTACATTTTCCTTTACCCTTCTTTCATGTTCTAGTTTTAAAAACTGGACAAACTACATAAACTTATTTCTCTATCTCTAGAGTAGAAAGAATTAGAATACTTCTATCACAAGATGGTTATGGAAAATCAATAATGTGGTTATCTTTTGTAAAACGAAAGTATTGAGCAATTTAGGAAGCTGTAATTGTCCAACTTCTTCAGCTTCTTTCTGAAGGGTGCACCATCGTGTAAAGCTCAATATAGGTAGCCGGCTCGAAAGTATTTTGTGTCCTGCAGAATTCTTTACCCAAGGTAATTGTCCCTAGAGTGATCTAATGCTCAGAGTTGGGATTTTTCCTCAAATGACCCCATGAGTCTACAAAGACACATTCTTTCATTCTCTTCCACATTATGTGGAGAGGATTTACCACGTTCAGACTCCAGGACTGTAGGTACCTCATTCTTGATCTCAAGGAGTCTGGGATGGTGTCTATAGAAAAGCACAGTGAGCGATGTTGGTACTATTTAACTCCATGGTTCTGTGTGGAGGGTAGGACTGCATGTATGCTGGCAAGTTCTAAGATCTGATGGGTGACAGTTGGATTTGCCAGGATCCTGCTGTCTCTGAACAATGAGGCTGTAGTAACCTACGACATTAGGTGTTTGGGATGAGATGCCTGTTATTTTTAACCAGGTGACAAAAATGTCATTTGCAGCCACAACTCATACCCTTTTGGACCACTGTGCTTTTGAAAAGGCAAACATCTGCGGCATGGTGCAGGGCACCAGAGACGACGCTGACTGGGTCCATGAGGACAGCACTCGGCCCGGACAAGTGGACCACACCTTGGGGGGACAATGCACAGGTGGGTGAAGGTGCAAAGTGAATGCCTGAGTGGTTCATCGGGTTCAATTGGTAACAGCAGCCAGTGTTTTGCCTCGGTCGGCATGTTAGTTATCAAACCCGAAATTCTAAATGTGGACAAAGCACATTTCCCTTCTCTTTAGTATTAACTGAATAAAAAGCATCGAGGTTCTGGGCACGCGAAAAGAAAGATGCATTTAAGCGATGACAAACGGATATGGTTCATAAGACACGACTTTGTAAATAAGGGTCATGCCTCAGAGCAATGCTCCCCGATAGAACTGTGATATGAGCTACATACAGAAGGGGAAATTTTCTCATAATCACATAGAAAAGAAAGAAGGGAAAGTCCTGTTAATAATATATTTTATTTAATTCCATATATCTAAGATATTAACATTTCAGTGTGTAATCAATATAAAAATGATTTTGTACTGGGCATTTGAAATCTGCTGTGTGCTTTACCCTGACGCCGTATCTCAGCTGGGACTGGCCCCAGTTCGAGTGCTAAGCATGCCCTTGGAGCCACCATACCGGGCGGGGAGCACAGCTTCAGATTGTCTCTATACCTGGTTTGTGTGCGTGCGGAAAAGCCATAAAGTCAGGCGGACCTGGGTGTAAAACTGGCTCTACCTCTTGTTAATTGCGACCACAGGACCTTGTTTTGTTTTTGTTTTTAATATGTTTTTATTGATTTTTCAGAGAGAGAGAGAGAGAAACATTGATGTGAGAGAGATCCATCAATCGGCTACCTCCTGCACATCCCCCACTGGGGATCGAGCCCACAACCTGGCCGGGAATAGAACTGGGACCTCTCGGTCCATGGGATGATGCTCAACCACTGAACCACACTGGCTGGGCAGGAACTTGTTTAAGTCTTTGCTTTTGTAAGCCTTTTAGAACATCCACATGTTGGTACATCACAGTGTGGATGGAAGAAGATAATGGTTACAGAACCTCCAGCTGCAGCCCAGTAGCTCCACTCCCTGTTTTTCCACATTTCCTTTCTTTCCAGGGATTGTGTGTGTGTGTGTGTGTGTGTGTGTATTTTCTATTCTAGCATCCTTTATTAAATGCCAATCATTAAAATCATCTCAACCCTACTTGGAAGCAGGCGGGGTTATAGATCATAATCACTTTATAAAGATTGGACTAGCCCAGCTGGTGTGTCTCGGTGGACTGAGCATCATCCCGTGGACTGAGAAGTCCCGGTTCCATTCCTCATCTGTGCATATGCCCGGGTTTGGGGCTTGATCCCCAGTAGGGGGCGTGCGGGAGGCAGCCGATTGATGTCTCTCTCTCACATCGATGTTTCCGTCTCTCTCTCTCTAAAGAATCAATAAAAACATATTTAAGCAAAAAAAAAGACTGGACTATATTATAAAGTCCCTTAGTCCATGCCTGGGTGAGAGTTGGTTAGATTTCCTTCACAAAAGGGACCTAGCTTGTCGCCCAGATTCCAGGCCACCACGGAGAGTGTCAGAGGTTGGAAGCCATTGCCACTCTTCCTCTGGACGTGGCAAAGGGTGGAAGTCTCTGCCCACAGCAGATTATTAAACACATAATCTCAAGTATCCAAAGGGCTACCTGAGCCTAACACTCATTAAATTCCCGTCCTGGACTCTACTCCAGTCTCTCCTGTGGGCTGCTGCTAGGCTAACACTCAATTCCCAGAGAAAGAGGTGATCTTCGTGGGAGAGGAACCCGCTAAAGAACGTCCTAGGCCTTCACAGGGAGGGGGATCACACCCGGCAAGGCGTGGCTAGGAAGGCTCTGTGAGGCTAGCTTGACCAGCTGCCCGCCTGTCACAGGAGCCACTTCGTGGAACCAGCTCCCTCTGCTGGAGAGCACTGGCCTTGCCCAGGTAGAGGCAGCGCCTCAAAGAGCGCAAAGGATAAGAGGCATTTTCCATGCAAAACCCAGACAGGCGAAGGAGCGCCTGGTGAGAGGCAGAGCCAGGGCAAGAATTCAGGTCTGACTCCCGGGCCCGAGTCCCTGGACTCTCACCTCACACTTCTGCCCACCTGGGCAGAACCCTGAGCAAGGACCACCTGGAGCCCTTAGCTGCGCGAGTTCTTGTTCTCTTCAACGCAAGCAATCGGTAGTTCCTAACACAGAGGTCTCAGGCCAGTAAGTTTGAGTATTGAGAAGAACATACAAGAAAACACAATTTTTCCTGGTGTAATATGACAGCTATTACGACACTTTTTTTTTTTTTTTTTTTGGTACGTGCCCCTAGTGGGAACTGAACCTGGGACCCTCTGGTCCGCAGGCCAACCCTCTAACCGCTGAGCCAAACCGGCCAGGGCCATTAGGACATTTTAAAACATGTGGAAGGCTTATTCAAAGATCGGTGCTCACTGCCCATCTGAAAGGCACACGCCCCATGTGGAAGGAAGGATGACGCTGCGAACCCCACTGCCGTGGTACCTAGAATGTTCTAGATGCTCTCTTCATTTTTACTTTGTGGGATGTTTTGAGTGGAGTGTTTGGTAAGAGGTTGAATTCTGGAGTACAGTTTAAATACCTTCTTTATAGACAAGACTTTGAAAAGTATGCTGGGTTTTTAAGGGACTCATTCCTTCAGCTGTCTGCTTATTCTGGGGGGAGAGAGTTTTGAGGTATCTGACCTGGGCAAACCTTAGTGCTGGCACAAATGAGATGCTCTTTCCCCTCTGTTTCAAAGCTTTCTTTGTATACAGGAGAAATCCTCAATAGTCCCTGCTATGCCTTGAATGCCCTTCTTATGACACCGTAAGGATGATCCTTTACCATGGCTGACACCCCCAGTCCTCAGGCGGGGCAGAGGTGAAACTGAACTTTAACAATGTGAATATTTAAAATCCAATCCCTAAACCTTTGAATCCCAGAGTTTCTTAATACAACCAGGAGGCCAGCTCTTTCCCTTGGAATGACTCTCTCATTTAAACAAGTCAATGAGGAAGATAGATTCCCCTCACAGACACTCAATTCCAACCCACTCCGCTCAAAGCCCATATTTCCTTGCGTCGGAAGCCTGTGTGGCACCAACTTGGGGACAAAGTCAATCAAAAGAGCTGCGAGTTTAGCCTGGGAGTCTGTCCATGGAGACAAACAGTATAAACTGACAAACAACCTTCCTTTGCTTTTCTCCAGAAGAGTTCTAGCCTGTGTCGCCTGGATAATGGCTGCTGCTCACTCTTTCACTTGGCGAGGGGAGGGGACGCCCGAGGTGTGGGCAGCCGGAGACGGGTTGTTGGGTGCTCTCTCCAAGGTGCCGGCTACTTCATGCACTTGAACACCAGCTCGGGGGTGGCGGAAGAGGCAGCCTTGCTGGAGTCTCGGATTCTTTACCCGAAGAGGAAGCAACAGTGTCTCCAGTTTTTCTATAAGATGACAGGAAGCCCTTCAGACCGACTCGTCATCTGGGTCAGGAGGGACGACGGCACCGGCAATGTTCGCAAGCTGGTCAAGGTGGAGACCTTTCGAGGTACCAGGGGGCGTTCATGCAAGGGTTGATTTGGCTTAAAATCTGGGATCCTGATTGCTGTTTTCATTTTCCTTCCCCTCCTTTTGCACCCTTCCTCCCATTTCTTCCTTTCTTCCTCCTTCTCTTTCTCTTCTTCTTCCCTTTTCCTCCACCCCCATTCCCAAACGTCCAGCACAGTGTCTGGCATATTTGAACCACCCAATGAATGAATGTTTTAACCACTCAGAAATTAGAAGCAGCCACAGGGGTTAGGTGAGTCTTAAATACACTTTGTAGGAGGCCAGTCAGAATAGATACATCCAATTTTCTCTGGAACTTTGGAGGAAACCAGGGCAGACAAATGCGTGATTCAGGGCTGGAGATTGGAAGGCGAAAGGGAAGCAGAGTTGAGGCAGCTGGAGAGAAGGTGGTTGAATGGCTGACCGTATGTGATTTTGCATCTGTTTCAGAAAACCGAGTGGTGCCATTATTTAATATGATGAAGTAACTGAAGCCTACTTGTGAAGTTGATGAGAACTAAGCCATTCGTATACACTAACTTCAATATAATCATTTACATATTACTAAGTGGTACTCTGTGTATGTCCATAAGACTCAGCACGGAGACCTTCGGATGCTAAGGCAGTCAGTTGGATGAGAGGGTGGTCTGGCTGTAAATCGATACACAGGGTTATAAAGCTAAATGTTCACATCTTTTTACTGTGGTGGTGGTTCATTCATAACTAGGGAAAGAGAGACATGCTTGCCTATATTTTCATTCAACAAAGAATTTCTCAATGACAGTGAATCCAAATAAATGGAGAATTCTTCGAGTACTTCTAGAAGAAACTGCCGATTTGGAGTTTCCTTAGGGGCCACTTATGAGAGCAGGTGCCCAAATCACCTCTACTCAGGGCCCAGTCTGAGCTACCTGGGAATTCTACAGATAATGGTTTTGAGGGGTTCACTCTTCTGGCGGAAATTTACAGAGCATCTCCATCAAATGGAGGGGTGGCAGCTAGGTGCCCTTAAGAGCTGAGAATTCACTGTTACCAAGGATTGTAACTGTTCAATGAGAAAGTGAACTGGAGTCTCATTAACATCAGTGGGATCTATTATCCCCCACTTCCATGTTAAGCTGAAAGTATGATGCTCATAAGCATGAAATCAACCAAGCAACCTTTTCCTGCTTAATTTAGTTCCTTACACTGGTATGGGTTGAATTCTACTGACTTCAAAGTGTGTCTCTGTGGGTTCCCTGGGGGTGTCCTCCAAATGGATCTTTAGAGCAGTCCATCCTGATACTGTTGTCAATGAAACTTTTCTAAAAGGTGGTTAAATATCATTTAGTGTTTATATGCTGTACAACTTGAGATAGTGACAAGTCTTTTGAAGTTTTAAACATATGCAAAATGTGTCTTTTAACCAAGCTGCTTACATACAAAATATGTCTCTGTCATTGTCTTTCTCTGTCTCTCTCTATATGTAACGTGTTTATGCAAAATACTTATGTTTTCACGGAGGCCGGGATCCCCTAATGGAGGACAGTTCTGAGCTAACAGGGATGAGGTGTGTCTGTCTCAAGTAATCTTGGTACTGTCTACTGCCGGCCTGATTTACGACAGTCCTACAGAAGCATCTCAGTGAAACGTGCTTTAAGATTTTATGGATGAGCCACTGGCCACTGCCCATTTGGTGATGGCCCATGGGGACTTCCTCCTGGCACAGGAGTCATTAGCCAAGAAAGGGATCCTTCTTCTATTTTTTTCTTTTCAGAATTCCCATGATCCAACCCTCGTGGATAAATAAATAGTTCGAATCTTGCACCTTTGTCCCTATTCCAGACTTCCTGGTGTCCATTACATCTCACAGTCATGTGTCCACTTGACCATTGCCTATCCCCAGGTGGTGTCAGTCACATAAGTGTACATGTCACAGGTGTGGCGCATCCTAGGATGTGGGTATCCAGTGCTGATATTAAGAGGTGGGAGTTTATTCTACCTGTGAAAATGAATGATAATGGAAGATAATTTCATGATTAAGATTTGAATACGAATTTAAAACTAAATCATAGTGTGTATTTTTGTAGCAACTTTCCCTGACTAGGTATGTGACTTTGGGAAAGTTCCTTAGCCAGTTTAAAACACTACCTGTCTCGTAGGGTTGTTGTGAGGTTTCAGTAAGATCATTCAGGTAAAGTAATTGGCACAGTACCAGGGTCATAATCGGTGCTCCATAAACATTGGCCACCATTGTCACCAATCCTATTTTCTGTCCTCAGGAGATTCTAACCAAAGTTGGAAAATTGCCCATGTGACCCTCAGAGAAGAGAAGAAGTTTCGCTACCTTTTCCAGGGCACAAAAGGTGACCCCCAGAGCTCGACTGGGGGAATTTACCTGGATGACATCACCCTGACAGAAACGCCATGCCCCGCAGGCGTTTGGACAGTACAGAACTTCTCCAAGGTCCTTCAGAGCACGGCTGTAGGGGACATGCTCCAGAGCCCCCGATTCTACAATGCAGAGGGATACGGGTTTGGGTTGACCTTATACCCTCATGGAAGAGTAAACTTGGGCTACTTAGGGCTCGCCTTTCACCTGTGCAGCGGGGAGAACGACGCTATCCTGGAGTGGCCGGTGGAAAACAGGCAGGCGATAATAACGATACTCGACCAGGAATCCGACGTCAGGAATAGAATGTCCTCAAGCATGGTGTTCACTACCTCCAAGTCCCAGACGTCTCCAGGTGAGTGGTTCTAGGAGCTGCCCCTCAACCTGGAGGTGCTGGCGGACATGGGTCTCATCTGGGTAAGAGATCGACATTCCTCCCACACTGCCTCCTGGGGCACACTACTAACAGTCATGCTGGAGTAGGAAGTCAGAATGTGCACCGTCATCTTATCCTCCTTCTCTTTTCTGGATTGACTCATCAAGTGTCTATTAAGGGCTGGCAGTGAGCCAGATTCTGTGCGCGGTCCTTAGAATATAAATTCCTGCTTCACGGAGCTCAGTCTCAGAGACTGCTAATCCCTTATCAGATTCTCAGAATTTGCTAGGCTCTGTGCAGAACCAATGCACTGACTCCTAACATATTTCTGATCATCAGTATATTCATGAAACAAACGTACCAATGCATAAATGGGCAAACTATTTTATTTTATTTTTTTGATCAAATGAAGAGCATGAAGCCTTAAAAAGAAGACGCTGTAGTTGCTCCTCCCAGTTCATTGAGGAAGTCGCTCACTAGTGGACCATTGACCATTCAGTGCTGTGCTTCTCTGCCCTCCCACCCTCCACTCCTGAGTTTTATTTCTCCTGGAAAAACCAAATAGACTGATTTTTTTTCTACCTATTTTTTTTTTCTGATTAACAAAGCTCTATATACTCATTAAAGACAAAGCAGTGGGTGATGGGAAGAGATAAACCAAAGCATATTTGCATAACCAATGGACACAGAGAATAGTACGGTGAAGGCAGGGTGGGGGTGGGAGGGGGAACGGGGGTCAATGGGGAAAAGGGGGGAACATCTGTAATACTTTCAAAAATAAAGATAATTTTTTTCTTAATTGATTTTGAGAGAGAGAGGAAGGTAGAGGGAGAGGGAGATAAAAACACAGGTGAGAAAGAACATCGACTGGCTGCCTCCTGCATGCCCCCCACTGGGGATCGGGCCCACAACCTGGGCATGTGCCCTGACCGGGAATTGAACCAGCGAGCTCTTGGTGCCTGGGCTGATGCTCAACCACTGAGCCACACCAGCTGGGCAAGATAAATTCTTTAAAAAGATAAATTGGAAAGTGAAGTATAAGGAGGTAATGTGATTTTGTGTTGCCTATAACTTTGCAGCAATAAATGACTCAGTCATCTGGGACAGACCGTCCGTGGTGGGAACTTATGATCAGAACTGTAGTTGTTACAGAAGCATTGAGAGGGGCTGGAATGACTTCATCTCCCACCAAATGCTGAAAAGGAGGAGTTTCCTTAAAAATGATGACCTTATCATGTTTGTGGACTTTGAAGGTACTTGTACTGATCTTTCTGAATAAATAACCCCATCCTCTGGGTCAGCGGTTCTCAACCTTCCTAATGCCGTGACCCTTTACTACAGTTCCTCGTGTTGTGGTGACCCCCAACCATAAAATTATTTTTGTTGCTACTTCATAGCTGTAATTTTGCTACTGTTATGTCTTAGGCGACCCGTGAAAGGGTCGTCCGACCCCCAAGGGGTCATGACCCACTGGTTGAGAACTGCTGCTCTGGGTGTTCTACTGAATTTACACTGATTTTTGAGCATCTCATGGAGAGTGGGGACTTTTCTTTTCTTTTCTTTTCTTTTCTTTTCTTTTCTTTTCTTTTCTTTTCTTTTCTTTTCTTTTCTTTTCTTTTCTTTTCTTTTCCTTAACCCTCACCCAAGGACATTTTTGCATTTATCTTCAGAGCAGGTGGGAGAGAGGGAGGAAGAGAGAGAAACATTGATGTGAAAGAGACACATGGAGTGGTTGCCACCCACACGACCCCATCCAGGGCCAGGGATAAACGGCAACCAAAGTATGTACCCTTAGCCACTAAGGCTTAGCGGAAACCGAACTCGGGTCTCTCTGGACCGCGGGCCAACGCTCTAACCGCTGAGCCAAACTGGCCAGGGCTCTTTTCTTTTTTTTGAGACTAGGTTAAAAAAAAAAAAGTGTTCTGCGAGAACCATATTTTACTCGATCACAAAAGGACTCCCCTCTTCAGTTTACGTGTCCTTGGGAGAAACTAGTCTTCTCATGTCATCTTTTTGGATAACGTTTGACATATGGCAATTTACTGACTTCAGTTTGGTTTCAGTCAGTCTATCCGTGCTAACTTTATATTTATTTTTTCAAGTGACATAAAAATGTGATTGGACTACTTTGAAAATAAAAATAACTCGCCTTCTGAGGGTCAGCTGGGTTCAAAGCCACTTTTCACGTGACTCAAGGTGATGTCCACGCAGGATAGAGGCCACCCGGGAATATTAACCATAGATCTTCCTCCTCAGACATCACCCACCTCAACCAGACTGGAGTCACCCCGAGAGACACAAGGCTGACCCCTCCAGGCCTTGTTCTCCAGGAGCAGCGGGCCGCCGACGGCTCAGCACAGGCCCTGTCGGAGAAGGCCCTGCCCAGCCGGCGGAAGCGGTCAGCAGAGAGCGTGGGCCCCATGGAGGACCACAACTGGCCGCAGTACTTCAGAGACCCGTGTGACCCGAATCCTTGCCAAAATGAAGGCATCTGCGTGAACGTGAAGGGCATGGCGAGCTGCAGGTAGGCTGGGGCGGCAGGTGGTGGGGTCCAGAGGCGAGCAGAGTGCTTCACCTGTCAAAGGCACTGTTCTCAGCTCAGGGCAAGGACCCGGCCAGATGGTCCCTGGACGTGGCTGTCCTCGACTCCCTGAGCGGTGACCTGGACCGGTGGGCAGGGCCGAAAGAGCAGGGGTCTGGCCAGGACAGAGGAGTCCCAAATCTCCTATCTCCAGTTTCTTTCCCTTTCCCACCTCGGGGTGGGGGGGTGTTGTCAGCAACAACTTGCAAGTTGTTAGGACTTTGAAACTTCACTAGTCCAGGTCTCAGCCCCGGGCTTTCTGCTGCTCGAGCCGCCCTGGGGACTCGGGACTGAGCCTGCATCCTGCCTGGCTGCCATGTCCTTATTGGTTAGTAATTCTTCTTATTTCTGTTGCCTATTAGTTCTGCTGCACTATTATTCTAGTTATGTTTTTACTCATAGTAGTGAGAGTATCGGATGTTGGTGGACTGCTTGCTATGAGTCACACGTTCTCCTGAGCAGGTATCTGCATCTGCTAAAGTGTCCCTCACGGCCGCCCTGTGCCACACCGGCCTGTTATCTCCATTTAGTGAGGAAGGAAGCTGAAGCTCAGAGAGGTTAAGCAATTTACCCAAAATACGCAGATGCTAAATACTGGAGCTGGACCTGCAACCAGGTCTGTCTGTCTGCAAGTTGCTCTATTAATAGTTCTTCCTGAAATGTTTGTTATTTGCATTAAATTATTGCATGAAAAGGGATTTATGTGATGACAGAAGTATCTGTTTCATGTGACAAAATAGTAGCAGATGGAGGAACCGTTCTGCTTGCCTCAAAATCTCTACATTTGTTCTGAGTTCTTTTCAAAGTCCAACTGTTTCTTCCATTATTGGCTTTTATTTTGAAATAATTTTAGACTTACAAATACATTGCGAAACTACTCCATAGTTCCCCATACTAACGTTAACCTCTTACCTTACATAGCCATAGGACAATTAGCAAAGCCAGGAAATAAATGAACATGAATTAAACTAAATACTATGAACAGTGGTATTGACTCAACTATAGGTCTTATTCCGATTTTCCAGCTTTTCCACCGATGTCCTCTCCCTCTTCCAGGACCCAGTTCAGGATCCCACATTACATTTAGTGTCCCTGTCTCCTCTGCCTTCTGTAATTTGGGACAAGTCTTTAGTCTTTCTTTGCCTTTCATTACCTTGATCATGGTGAGGAGTCTTGGTCCATTATTTTGTATTGTTCCTCAATTTGGGTTTATCTGTTTTCTAGTGATTATATTGAGGTTTACATTTTGGGCAAGAAAAACAAAGAGGAGATAAGCCCTTCTCAGTGTGTCATGTGACCTCTAACCGTGATCACCTGGCCTGGGGGTGTCCACCCGGCTTCTCTACTGAAAACTCCCCATCCTCACTCTGTAGTTAATGTCTATCTTGGGAGAGACATTCTGAGATTAAGCAGACATCCTGCCTTACCTCAAATTCTCACCCACTAATTTCAGCATCCGTTGGTGGTTCCCCCTGGAATCGTCCCCACTCTAATGTTTTAATGGCGATTGTCTATGTTTTCATCTTCTCTGCATTAACGAAGTGAAATTTTTCTGTAAAAAAGAATTTCTCCTCCTCCCTACTCATTTACCCATACAGTTATTTATTGATATCTTTCAGGATTCATAAACACTTATTTTATTCTCCGGCCTGTAGGTCACTATGCCAGTCTTTATCTTGTCCTCGTGTTGTTCCAGCTTTGGCCTTGGGGAGGCGCTCTTCCCGACCGCGGACTGGCTCCTGTGCTCTTCCTATGCAAACTCATTGTTTCACGAACACGCTATTACTTCCAGGCCTCATGGCCTTTCCAGGCTCATCTGTTATTCGCCCCACCCCAGCCCTGGAGCCAATTACTTTCCCAAAGAACCATGGTTCCTTTCATTGGAGAAGCCCCCCCTTATTCCGTGAGGGCCCCCCAGCCACGGGCTGCGCCTCTTGGCTGATGATACCAGATTCCAATACGTGCCAACTGGCTTCATCCTTCTCAGGGTGAGGAAGGTCAAGGGTTCCACTTGTGAGTCAACCTCTTATCAGCCAAATGATTCTTCTTCCACAAGCTTGCAGCCTGGAGTTTCTGTGGAATAAGTTCCTCTAAGGTAATAAATTATATTTGGAGGAAACTGGGCCGGAGAAAAATTGTACAAATTTAGTATTATTTACCGATTTTTAAGCCAATTCCTAGGCTGGAGATAAGGCCTTTGGAGGTAACACAGTTCCAGCCTGGCCAGTGTGGCTCAGTGGATTAAGTGTCATCCCATGGACTGAGAGGTCCTGATTTGATTCCTGGTCAGGGCACATGCCCATGTTGCAGGCTTGATCCCCAGTACGGGGCGTGCAGGAGGCAGCCAATCGACGTATCTCTCTCACATCAATGTTTTATCTCTCCCTTTGTCTCTCTCTAAAAAAATCAATGAAAAAATAAAATAGAAGTAACACAGTTCCAGGGTTAATAAGGAGGCCTTAACTTCTGATCATCTCATTCTGCTCTTGGGGTAGACTTTTGGGATAGGGATGTTGTTTGACACAAAGGCTAGAACTGTTCTCATGGAAGAGATGAAACACTTAACACTTTGGCTCTGCAATTAGCTCATCTTTATAACAAATAACATGTTTTTAAAAAGAACACCCAAGGAAGGTCTACTGTGCGCCGAACACCTCACGGTACAGCAACACGTTGATTGATGGCGTCTAGAAGTGTTCAAGGTCCAGCGAATGCGCTGAGACTTTGCCTGGAGAATGTCCTCTGTAGCTTCTAGTCTGAGCCAGGGTCCGACAGCAGTTCTTCAGGTTCCCCAAACCTTCCTCCTGAACTCTGCACAGCAGGCCAAGAGTACCGGCTGGAGACAGACCTCCCAGCCGAGACTTCATGTGTGAATCACTAACCTCGTGACCTTGAGCAGGTTATTTAACCTTGTGAGGTTGGTGAGAATGGCCTGGTAAGAACTGCCACCTCCAAGGATTGCTACAGGGTTCAAGGCGCTGACTCCCATAACGCACTTCGAGTGGGGCCAGGCACGTGGACCCGCTCAGGAAGCCTTCACAGCCGTGACTGAGGTGTGGGCGCTTGTCGCTGGGAGGTGCGGGAGGCCCCGTGGCTCCCACATGAACCCCTGTGTCCTGTTCCCCAGGTGTGTCTCCGATCACGCCTTCTTCTACACGGGCGAGCGCTGCCAGGCCGTGCAGGTGCATGGCAGCATGCTGGGCCTGATCGTCGGGGGCTCGGCCGGTGTGGTCTTCCTGACCTACACCGTCATCTCCATCCTGTCCCAGAAGCTGAGGCAGTGACCGCCTGCGGACATCAGCCAGACCAGAGAAGCGCCTCCTCCACTCACGCCCTGTGCGCGTGCTGAGCGCAGTCTGGGGCGGTTCCGTCAGCTTGTTTTCAGTAGGACCCCCAGGACCAAGCTCTCCGGGCTCCAGTGTGACCGCTATGGTTGTTCTGCCCCAGCCCTCGTGTGGTTCTGTTACCCTGCTCTGTGCTCCAAATGTATCTACCGTGTCCTGTGGCAGCACTCACTGCTTCTCTGTAAATCGCTTGTTTAATCGACTGTCTTTCCCGCAGACATGAGCTCCCCACGGGCAGACCTCGTTTACCAGCTCGCTCCAAAGCCTGGCAGCTGGTGCATCGTGGGAGTTCACTGAAGATGAATGAATGACCCAATGACTGAATGAATAGCTAAGCTATATGAACTCTCTCATTCCTTCTGTAGATGAGATATATACAATAAACTCGAACGTCGTTTGTATTAGAATAAAATACAAGTGTTATTACTCTTTTAAGATCTCCTGTGCTAAAGGGTTTCAAAGAAAGATTCCTCCTGGCAGCGGGCTCCTCTGCACCTGCTTTCCACGTGAGTCTACAGAAAGGTTTTAACAAATTCAGTGCCTATTCAGTCAGTACCTTCTATGCATTCAGCATTGTGTGTGTGTTTGTGTGTGTGGAGGGGGTGGGGAGAGTTGATCCGAAGGATCTTTCTCAGATCCTTTTAAATTTTAAAGTATATTTTCTATGCTATTCATGTATAAAATCATTCTGTTAACAAACTGAAAGTATCAGGTGGAAGAACATTTTGAGGAAGTATTTTGAGATCCATTTCCTTTCCGCGGTTCTTAAGGAGATAAAAGTCTAGCCTGGGCAAGAAATTTCCGAGACAGATGGAGTCAAAGGCAAGCCGCGATCCCCACCCCACGGGGCACCAGCGAGCCGGCTCTGGAAGTGTCCTCAGAGGACATGTTTCCGAGGAGCCTGAGCGGTCCAGGCTTTAGGGCACCAGGTTTCTTTAGTATGACTTTATGGTCATTCTAGAAACAAATATGAAGGACTCAGAGGAACCCCTAATGCACAAGTGTGAGAAGAGTTTGTAGCAGGTGCTAACGGCACCCCCCAGGCACTGCCTCGCAGCCTGGGGGCCTCAGAGCCCCTGGAAGGCTGGTTAGAACACAGGTGGAGGGCCCCACGCCAGGGGTTCTGGCTCAGTGAGTCTAAGGAGGAGTCTAAGAATGTGCATTTCTAACAAGTTCCCGGGTAACGCTGAAGCTGCTGGTGTGGGGGCCACACTCAGAACCCACTCTAGTGGATGGGAAATGGGTCTGGAAGTCGGGCACCCCGGCTGCAGGCTTGGATTGACCATCTGTGCAGTCTTAGCAAAATCCCTTAAGCCCTTGGTCTCCGTTGACTAATTTGTCAGATGGAAGTCATGACTGACTACTGTCTCCCATCCCACCGTAACACCTCCAGGGTTCCAGAGCAATGAAACAGGGTAACAGCTAAGAACATATTTGAGAGTTAAAGGTGCCTGCAGAGAGGGCCGCTCAGAGTTCGGACTGGAGGAGGAGCGCTCCAGCCGCCCACTCTTCCATTTCCGAAGACCCGATGGGAAGCAAGCCCAGCTCTGCTGTCCGTGTGCCTGTCGGCCTGCAGGGGCACAGCTGCACCACAGCTGGACCTGGGGAGGGCGTGCCCTCCACACGGGCCAGTGGCACCCCCAAGGAGGGGGCTCCAGGCGTTGTTGTCCTTTTATTAGAAGGGCACGTGCTCTGGGCCCCATCTGGTCTGGACCTGGCCCAGCTCGGAGGGAGGGGCCCCGTGCCAAAGCAAGGATGACATTTCTCTCCACGGGAGTTCTCTCTGGGGGAGCAAAGCCTCCATTTCAAGGGTAACCTAGCATTTTGATCTAGTACTATACATCAAAACGGCCAGGTCAAAGGAATAATAAGGACATAACCGGACTGAAGGGCAAACATTTTGATATTTCTCTCTATGTTCTCATCCCCAGCAGTACCACCGAGTCCCCAGGTGTCTCTCTGGTGATGACAGGTGGATTAAGAATCTGGCTCTTCATAGATCGGACATTGTATTCAGCTTTTTAAAAAATCTGAAGTCCTGGATCATTCCAGGAGGGTTAGCAGATTTTTTTTTTTTTTTTTTTTTTGAGGCATTGGGGTAGAGATAGAGGAGTGGGCACGTGTGTAGAGAGAAATACGTCTTTTGCTCTCTCTAGGCAGCGTGGGATCTGAGGTTTAGATGAGCAAAGTGAAAAGGGGAATTCTCTCATATCTGTTCCTTGGGTCCCTTGGTCTTACACAGCGGGAAGGAGTCAGAACGGTTGGACAGGCTGAGCGTGTCTCAGGCCTCCCCTGCCCCCCCCCCCCCCCCCCCGTCCTTCTCCCTCTGGCTCATGTCCTCTGCAAACTGGTCTGAGCCAGGTTGGCCGTTTACAAATGGAAGGTGCTTTAGGGATGCCTGGAGCCTCTGATTAGAAGTAGATGGGAACCATAGCCCACTCCCCCACAATGTTAAAATGAATCAAGATTCTAAATCCTGCCACATTCTTATATTTATGAGCTATCAAGTCCCCAAAGTCATCAGCACTAACCCCTCTATTCTGTGGTCTAGGCTCCCCAGCAAACATCTTAGGAGAAAGTCTATTCTAGGCACATGTAGCCATCGGAAGGCCCAGGCCAGACACCTGTCTACTCCAGGGTTTCTCAGCCTTGACACTATGGATATTTTGAACCTGACACTCTGTGTTGTAGCCTGTTCTGTGCATTGTAGGACGTCTGCAGCCCCATGACCTCTGCTCACTAGATGACACTAGTGACTACCTCTCCCGTTGTGACAACCAGCAATGTCTCTGGATGTTGCCAATGTCCCTGGGGTTGGGGGAGGGTAGACAAAGTCATCCCTGCTTTAGAACCACTGCTCCAATTAGATAGCCAATGAAATATTCGAGTAAGTGAGAGAGGTCAGGACCAAATGGAATTCTAGTTGAAGATCCTACCCCCAGATTCAGTCCACGGGGCCAGCCAGAGTTGTGTACCTGTAGCTGTTTGAACATTCCATGTTACTAATGCGAAGATGACTCTAGCATCCTTTCCCCAACGACAAACCTCTGGTGTAGCTCAAGATAGCAATATGTAAGTGTTTTCCCTGGGTGTTTCTGCAGTACAGACTTTTTGTTTAATCCTCACCTAAGGATATTTTTTCCATTGATTTTTAGAGAGAGTACAAGAGAGGGAGGGAGGGGGGAGAAAGAGAAACAGTGATGTGAGAGAGATGCATCGATTGGTTGCCTCCTGCACGCACCCTGACCAGGGCCAGGGATCGAACCTGCAACCCAAGTACATGCCCTTGAGCAGGAATCAAACCCATGATCCTTTGGTGCAGGGGCTGACACTCTAACCACGGAGCCACACCAGCCAGGGCTGCAGTACAGACTTCTGATCAGGATCCTTCAGTGCTAACTACCTTTGTTGTGTTTCGATTACTTTGACTACTGTCAAACCTCCTCTAGGTGTGGAGTGTAGCCAACCTGCCCACGGTCTCCAGTGTTGCGTTGATATGGGTGTATTTACGAGCAAATTGCAGACAATCTAGCACCACCCCTTCCCAAGCCCCTTCTTCCTGATGAGCCATGTCATCCACTTGGTGGCTTGAAGGAAGCCTAGCGATCCTGCAGTTCAACCTTGGTACTGGAGTAAACCGAGGAGATCCCAGCGAGAACAGATGTCTTAGGCAGGTCAAAAGTCAGGTCATAGCAGAACCTAGTACCCTTCTCTGGCTGCCAGGGAAGCTTCAAGCGAACAGTGGCTTGGGGGGGGGGCATCTATGAAATGTAGCCTAATCTACACCGCATACTTTGCAAAGACAGTTTGAGCTTGGTTCTCTTTATTTGTCTATCATTTGATATCAAATTAGTCACCTACTCATATTTCCATATAATGTGGAACAACTCTTATGTTAATTCACATAAACACAAGATACATTTCCAAAATCTTCATGCCAAATTAGTTTTCAAGAAGACCTATTATATGTATTCTACAGTTAGGAGTACTGTTCAGCAAACGATCACAAACCCCAGTGGGTGGGGGTGGAGAAAGGAAGATGGGGGGAGGTATGCTCTAATGAGTGTTAACGTGGAAACAAAGGGCAGACAGATTTGATGTGGGTCAGGACCTAACAGAGTGTGTGTGTGCGTGTGTGCGTGTGTGCGTGCGTGTGCGCGCACGTGTGGATGTGTGTAGGGATGGAGTTAACAGTGAGACGGGACAGGACAGTGAAGACAAGACTCAGCCCTCTCCCTCATTCACGTTTGCCGGGCGCTGGTCCCGGAAACCCAGAATAGATTGAGACATGGCCTCATCTGGGTCACAGCTTCCCTCAGGGCCTGGACACACTGAGGACAATTTGACCCTGTGTGACTCAACAGCCCGGTGGAAATCATCAGTAACATTTAAAGATTTCTATCTGGTCAAGAGAATACAAAGAGAGGAGGAACGTGGGGTCCTGGGAAGGTACGGGAGGCAGGGGAGACAGGCCAATGATCAGCCCCCAGCAAAACGGTCACCAGTCCCTATTCTCTCTGTTCACACTTTGCAGTGGGATCTCCAGTCCCAGAGGCCCCATGGCTGCCCAGGGCACAGCTGGCCTTCTCCCCTCCCCTTGCAGGTAGGGGGCTGTGTGACTAAGCTCTGGCCAATGGAATGGAAGCAGAAATGTTGAATGACAGTTTCTGGGAACTTTTTTAAAGAAGCCTTGGTGCATACACTTTTAGTTCCTTCTTCTGTTCTAGTGACTGATAAGGGGACATAATAACCAAAGTGGGAGCAGCCATGTGGGGCTATGAGGTGACCTTGGGAGGAGCAAAATAAAAATAAATGCCCGGGTCCCTGAGAACTACGTGGAGCCCGGTCTACCGTACCAGGCTTGCACCGCTCGTCCACACACGTCTACGCCTTAAGCAATAAACTTGCCGTGTAAGTCTCTGTTATTTTACATCTTTGTG